ACCCACACCCACACCCACACCCACACCCACACCCACACCCACACCCATATCCACACGCACACACCCACACCCACCCTCGAGCAGTTGACGATCGATTTGTATTCGTATTTGAATTAGACATGTCATGTTGATATGTGTTTTATTAGAATAATAAGAGTGAATAGGACAAAAAAAAAGAAAAGGAAAAATTTCAAAGGTATAAGAAGAGAAAAAAAAAGGTTGCGAAAATATGAGTAAAGAAAACTAACTACTTGAGAAGATTAGAAGGAAAAACTAACTATAGGATAGTGTCTGTTGATTTTCATGATGATTGGCGGCAGTATCCTATTTGTAACCATATGATGTTGGTGTTGTGCCGCCTTTCCTATAAATAAAACAAAACTTTAAGTACAATTCCTACGAAATTAAAATGAATACTATATGGTCATAGCATACCTAATTTAAACATCCTGTTCAAATACGCTTCTCGCTTCAAAGAAACGATAATCAACTTGAAGCCATGAACACAGGTCACAATCTTAATAAATACTTCTCAATAAAGATTCTTTCAAATATTTTGCTCAATTGAAACCAAAGATTCGGAGTTGATTACATCACCTATCAACACAAAACAAATGAATAATTCTCATTAAAGATTCTTTCAAATATTTTGCTCACTCCAAAGAAAAGATTTCAAGCTGCTTACATCAATTATCAACACACAACAAATGAATCATTATCAAAAAAGATTCTTTCAAATATTTTGCTCAATTCAAGGCAAAAATTTAGAGTTGATTACATCAACTATCAACACAAAAACAAATGAATAATTCTCCAAAACATTTTTTCAAATATTTTGCTCAATTCAAAGCAAACAATTGGAGTTGATTACATCAACTATCAACACACAACAAATGAATAATTCTCAATAAAGATTCTTCCAAATATTTTGCTCACTTCAAAGCAAAGATTTTGCGTTCATACCATCAACTATAAACAAACAACAAATGAATAATTCTCAGTAAAGACTCTTTCAAATATTTTGCTCAATTCAAAGCAAAGATTTGGAGTTGATTACATCAACTATCAACACACAACAAACCAATAATTCTCAGCAAACATGTTTTCAAATATTTCGCTCAATTCAAAGCAAAAAGATGTGAAGTTGATTACATAAAATATCAACACACAACAAACGAATAATTCTCAATAAAGATTTTTTCAAATGTTTTGCTCCATTCAAAGCAAACATTTGGAGTTGCTTACATCAATTATCGACACACAACAAATGAATAATTCTCAAGAAGGATTCTTTAAAATATTTTGCGCAATTCAAACCAAAGATTTCGAGTTCATTACATCAACTATCAACACAAAACAAATGAATAATTCTCATCAAAGATTCTTTCAAATATTTTGCTGAATTCAAAGCAAAGATTTGGAGCTGATTACATCAACTATCAACACACAACAAATGAATAATTCTCAAGAAGGATTCTTTCAAATATTTTGTGGAATTCAAAGCAACGATTTGGAGTTGATTACATCAGCTATCAACACAAAGCAAATGCATAATTCTAAATAAAGATTCTTTCAAATATTTTACTCCATTGAAACCAAAGATTCGGAGTTCATTATATCAACTATCAACACACAACAACTGCATAATTCCCAAGAAACATTCTTTCAAATATTTTGCTCAATTCAAACCTAAGGTTTTCAGTTGATGACATCACCTATCAACACAAAACAAATAAATAATTCTCATCCAAGATTCTTTCAACTATTTTGCTGAATTCAAAGGAAAGATTTGGAGCTGATTACATCAACTATCAACACACAACAAATGATAATTTTCATTAAAGACTCTTTCAAATATTTCGCTCAGTTCAAAGCAAAGATTTTCAGTTGATTACATCAACTATCAACACACAAAAAAGGAATAATTATCAAAAAAGCTTCTTTCAAATATTTTGCTCACTTCAAAGCAAAGACCTCGAGTTGATTACATCAACTATCAGCACACCACAAAGGAATAATACTGACGAAAGATTCTTTCAAATATTTTCCAGAACTCAAAGCAAAGATTTGAAGTTGATTACATCAAGTATCAACGTACAACAAATGAATAATTCTCAAAAAAGATTTTTTCAAATGTGTTGCTCAATTGAAAGCAAAGATTTCGAGTTGATTACATCAACTATCAACACAAAACAAATGAATAATTCTCAGTAAAGACTCTTTCAAATATTTTGCTCAATTCAAAGCAAAGATTTAGAGCTGTTTACAACAACTATCAACACACAACAATTGAATAATTCTCACCAAAAATTCTTTCAAATATTTTCCTGAACTCAAAGCAAAGATTTCGAGTTGATTACATCAACTATCAACACATAACAATTGAATAATTCTCACGAAAGATTCTTTCAAATATTTTGCTCAATTCATAGCAAAGATTTGGAGTTGATTACATCAACTATCAACACACAACAAATGAATCATTCTCAATAAAGACTCTTTCAAATATTTTGCTCAATTCAAAGCACAGATGTGAAGCTGATTACATTAACTATCAACACACAACAAATGAATAATTCTCATTAAAGATTCTTTCAAATATTTTCCTCAATTCAAAGCAAAGATGTGAAATTGATTACATCAACTATCAACACATAACAATTGAATAATTCTCACCAAAGATTCTTTCAAATATTTTCCTCGATTCAAAGCAAACATGTGAAGTTGATTACGTTAACTATCAACACACAACAAATGAATAATTCTCCAAAAGATTTTTTCAAATGTTTTCCTCAATTCAAACCAATGATTTGGAGTTGCTTACATCAACTATCAACACATAACAAATGAATAATTCTCAGCAAAGATTCTTTTAAATATTTTGCTGAATTGAAAGCAAAGATTTTCAGTTGATTACATCAACTATCAATACACCACAAATGAATAATTCTCATCAAAGATTCTTTCAAACATGTTGCTGAATTGAAAGCAAAGATGTGGAGTTGATTACATTAACTATGAACACAAAACAAATGAATAATTCTCATCAAAGATTCTTTCAAACATGTTGCTGAATTGAAAGCAAAGATTCGGAGTTGATTACATCAACTATCAACACACAACAAATGAATAATTCTCAACAAAGATTCTTTTAAATATTTAGCTCAATTCAAAGAAAGATTTGAAATTGATTACATCAACTATCAACACACAACAAATGAATAATTCTCCAAAAGATGTTTTCAAATATTTTGCTCAATTCAGAGCAAAGATTTAGAGTTGATTGCATGAATTATCAACACACAAAAAAGGAATAATTATCAAGAAAGATTCTTTCAAATATTTTGCTCAATTCGAATCATAGATTTGGAGTTGATTACATCAACTATCAACACACGACAAAGGAATAATTCTCAGCAAAGATTCTTTCAAATATTTTGCGCAATTCAAAGCAAAGATGTGGAGTTAATTACATCAACTATCAACACAACCAATGAATAATTTTCCAAAAGATTTTTTCAAATAGTTTGCGGAATTCAAAGCAAAGATTTGGAGTTGATCACATCAACTATCAACACAGAACAAATCAATAACTCTCAGCAAAGATGTTTTCAAATGGTTTGCTGAATTGAAATCGAAGATGTGGAGTTGATTACATCAACTATCAACACACAACAAATGAATAATTCTCATAAAGGATTTTTTCATATGTTTTGCTCAATTCAAAGCAAACATTTTGGAGTTGACTACATCAGCTACGAACACACAAAAAATGAATAATTCTCAACAAAGATTCTTTGAAATATTATGCTCAATTCAGAGCAAAGATTTGGAGTTGATTACATCAATTATCAACACACAACAAATGAATAATTCTCATCAAAGATTCTTTCGAATGTTTTGCTCAATTGAAAGAAAGATTTGGAGTTGATTACATCAACTATCAACACATAATAATTGAATAATTCTCATCAAAGATTCCTTAAAATATTTTGCTCAATTCAAAGCAAAGATTTGGAGTTGATTACATCAACTATCAACACACAACAAATGAACAATGCTCATTAAAGATTCTTTGAAATATTTTGCTCGATCCAAAGCAAAGATTTGGAGCTGTTTACATCAACTATCAGCACACAACAAATGGATAATTCTCAATAAAGATTCTTTAAAATATTTTGCTCAATTCAAAGCAAATATTTGGAG